CCCCCCCCCCCCCTGCACGAGATAGCGTTGCCGCCACAACAAACCCAAAAGGCAGCAAAAAGGCGAGAAAGGGAAGAAAGCCTTACCGCCGCGGTAAGCACGAGGGCCGAGAAGAAGCCGACGTAGCAGAAGTGCCTCAGGGCATGGAGGTCCTTGGCCAAGCAGGCGGGGAATACGAGCAAGAGAGCGACGAACAACACCTGCCGCCGCAGCCAACCGGCCAACAAAGAAAGAGGTTCAGCAGCTTTTACACAAGAAAAAAGAAAGGTTCAGCAGCTTCTTTACCAAAAAGAAAGAGATTCAACAGCACTTCAACAACAAGGAAAGAGGTTAAGCAGCTCGTACACAACAAAGAAAGAGGTTCAGTACCTGTTACACAGCAACGAAAATATGCACAGCAAAAAGACAACAAGTAGAGCAGATGTTCTTATTATTTCCTCACACACTTATTGATCGCGCGATGGGCGGTTCCACTCACATAGTTGCTCTGGTCCGAGTCCAGGGTCTCGCCGATGACGGACTCCACGATGCCCGACCAAATGTCCCGGACGAGGACCATGTACGCGATCGTGACGAAGATAGTCATCGCCATGAGCACGGCAGTCGTCACGATCGCGCCGGGCTCTCCGAAGGCGGCCTGCCCCACCTGAGGTTTGCGGTCAAAGTGCAAGGCACGGGCGGCGTCGACACGATTTTTTCGCTTAATACACAGGAAGGACAAGCCACGAGCAAATGCGGCGAACGTGGACAATGCAGAGCACCAAAAAAAAAAACAAAGATTGTCATGGCCGTGAGGACCAACGCAGTCACAAAAGCGCCCGGCTTTACGAAGGCGGCGGCTCGTGCCACCTGAGTGTGCGGTTCAGTGGAAGCCACGGCAGCCACACCGTTGTAAAACGAAAACAGAAAAAAGAGGGTTACGTGCCACCATCGACCATGACGGTGTCGGCCATCACCACGGGATCCCACATTTTCTGTTTTATCAGTCCAACTTTACATTAAATTATTTAGTTGGTCAATCGGTTAGCGCGGTCGATGCAAAACATAAGACACATGCACACACACGTACGTACTCACGGGGCCCCTCCCACATCATGGTCCTTCCGAGCATTTTCTGTTTTATCAGCTGAACTGAGATTGAGGTATTTTAATTGGTCAGCCGGGTAGCTCTGTCGATGCAAAAAAAAAAAGGCATACGCGTACACACAGTACTCACGGGGTCCCCGATCATGGCCTTTACAACCTTTCAAGGGTGTGTTTAGTAGAGTAGAGTATTTTGAGTAGAGTATCGACAGTCGTACTAAAGGTTTAGTAGAGTAGAGTATCGGGAGTAGTACTAAACCTAATAGTAGGTCGAGTAGAGTATCGAGAACTCTACTAAAACTTTAGTAGAGTAGAGTATC